CCGAGAGGTTTCGAATAGCCGGCAGCGCGACCAGCGGGAACTTATTATTTCCACAGAAGCCCGATAAACCGTCCAGTCGACTAATTAAGCGATTAGTTGCCTATTGGATCCATCGGGCATCAATCTGCGGTTGAATCACGCGGCTGTATCACACGAGATGGACGATTCCCGGCCGGCTCGCAATATCCGCCGCTGCAAAATCGAGGATAATAACTCACCGAGCGTTCGTGAATTACACGTTACGCACGGGCATCCACTCCGCCGTCGTCGCCGCCGCCCGTTGTGCGTCGGCATTTTCATTTTAATAGAAATCGATCGGCACGGAGAGCCGAGAGAATAAGTAGGAAGTTAAAGAGAAAATAAGAGAGAGAGAGAGAGAGAGAAATTTAGAAGACGCGGGATAAGTGAGGGACCGGGTGGCGGCGGCTGATGGCCGTCGGGCGAAGGTGGGAGGGAGGCAAACACGGCCGTGTAATTAGAAATCACGGGGATTTACGGGGCATCGGGCAATAAATCCAAAAAGTAACGGCTAATGGCACGCGTATTGACGTATCCATCTGGCTATCGTTCATCTTTCTCACGAGTCGCAGCGCGCGCGCGAGCGTACGCCCCGCGCGCGTATGCCGCGACGAGCGCGCGCGCCTCGCGGCTACTCGCGATCCGGCCAGGAAGACGACGAGACGAAAGGATCGACGCCTCTAGAATGAACTACGGGGCTTTCTTCTCGGGGAAGAGACGTCGCGCCGGCCATAAGCACGCTTGATTTACGTTAAAAGCCGCGCCGGGCCCGGCGTTGAGTCTTTATCGGGTAGGAGTGAGGCGATGATGATGAACGATCGGCGATTTGTAGAGGCGATCGTCGAATGCAAGCTCGCTCGCACACGCGAGACACACGGCGCGTACACAGGCGTCGCGAGCCCGAGCGGATTCGCTGATCATCGGGGCAAGTCGTGGCCGATATCTCGGGCGCGCGAAACGCGAGTGAAGTGAGAGAGAGAAAGATCACTTTGTGCGCAGCGCCGGAAAAATGGCGAGTCGCAATCGTCTTTCAGCGCTTCGTTACGGGGATATTATCTGTCGGAAAGAGACCGTATTGTCTCGCGCATGACGCGTTCGATATCCCGGTTATAGATTTAGCCGTGCGCGCGAGATCTTAGCCGGCTTGTCGTTTCAGACGCGGTTTCTTCGATAGAGCCATTATTCGTCGCGACTTTCTAATTCTCAACATTTATCATACTGGAAATTATTATCCCGAATTAAATCTCCGCTAAGGCGATCCTCAATTATCCTGAGATACCTAACAAGCGTCTCCTCGTCCGCACGCCTTGCGCCTTCGGATTTTTACTCGTCACGGTTTTTAATTCTCGGCACGGGATGAACGATCAACGTCGAAGCGCCTACAATTTTTCCGCGCGTCGATTTCCGATGAGTGCGCGGAGAAAGATAACTTTGCCGTACTGATGTTGCCGAAACCGATCGTTGCTACCTGCATATTCGTCGTGGCAGCGATGAAATTTAGTTGACATTATCAAGTTAACGAATTATTCGTAATTCGAGCGAAAACAGCTTTGCCGCCTGGATAGAAAATATTCTGCTGAGTGAGTTCGTCCTTGGAATATATTAATTTGCTGTTAGAACAAAATAGTGTTTGCCTACGCTTACTAATTTGTTCTCGCAGCAAGATCATTTCAGATTCGATTCAGTAAGATAATCCGGCGAATGGTAATTAGTACTCTTGACAAGTAACAAATGATTTTTCTGTCTGTATAATAACTGGCCGGTTTTGCTGCGTTAACATAAAATTCACCACGTGCCTGGCAAATGATTTTTCTCCATGTGTAAGACAATACCGAATATATACCGGAGCATTACTCTCGGCGTGTCATAATATTTCGCACGCGTCGATTATAATTCGTTGCATTTGCCATGCAACTGGTTTCGTTTTCTCAACTGCTTCATTTCCATCTCACCGATGTCGGACAACGGAGCGCATCACAGTGGCGCCGAAGATACGTCGCATCGCGCGGCAGTCGACGCGGTTTCTCCGGCGCGAGCAAGCAGGTCGGATTAACGTCTTCATTCCGGGAGAAACCCCGCTTGCTCGCACGATGCCTCGCCGGTAATCGATCGGTTATGGTAATCCGAGCGAGCGTCCAGCGCGCGATCGTTAAAAAAGTCGCGCGCGCGCGGTACTCTCTCGGTTTATTTGCCGTGCGTACTCACTCACAGCGATAAGTGGGCGATGCGTGCAGTTCGATTAACGCAACAACGGGTGCGTGAGCGATCGTCCGTCGTGCGTGAAAAGAGAGAAACCCACGGGAGGAACGCCCATGCGATCCACCCGCGATCGCGATCGCTCGATTCCGGGGATATCTCCCGACGTGCGACGATCCCAACGCGTTTTGTTTATTAATGTTATAAGTTAGGCTCAGATGAGGCTGTTGTCGTTGTTGTCGCGTTCAAGTAATTAGAAAGTCACTGACGGATCTATCAATCGTGTACACGAACACACACATCGGCGCGAAATACACAATCTTCCTTACTTACGAGATTATCGTATTAATCAGCTTCGATTTTTCATCTCGACAGTTTGTCTTTTTTTTTTTTTTTCTTTTAATAATAGCAATGTAAGACGGTATTATTTGTTATAGTATTTTACTATTATATGTATATGCACAAGATCTCTTGTGAATTTGTACGAAACATAGATTTATCAATAGATAAGTAAGCGCGGTGTATCGGAAATATAATTGGTACAAATCGGTTAGAAATCAAGTTTTCAGTGCATTGGCGAATCATGTCGTTACCCGGTCGATTTATCATAATCTCGAGGATTGTATGTGTAATTACGGGATTAAACGTACTGTATCAGGATGATTGAGCGATAAATAATGACGATAATAGTGAAACTCACGGTGCAAAAAATAGGGCGCACACTCTCTACAATCATCATATCGCTGTTGCTTATAACGAAGCATCAGCCGATTGCCGTTGCCGAGTTGCATATTGAATCGATCTTCTCAGTAGTGCTGTCAATTTCGACCCGGATACCCGAGTCCTTCGGTAACTGAGTATACGACTAATTTCAGAAGTTATTATCATCTGTTACTGACAGAAAAATCAATAATTCGTAACGTCTGAAATTAGCCGTGTACTCAGTTACTGAGAGACTCGTGTAGTCGAGTAGTCGAAATTAACGGTACTATTTCTCAGCGTTGCACGACAAATGAAAAGTCCCGAATGGCCGTGTTTCGGGCGGCTTGTTCAAAATTCACGAAGAAAGAACGACGACTGTACCCGTCGGCGGCGGACGTTATTATCGCGTTACCGCGCAATCGGCCAGATAACGCCGGTATGAATTATCATTCACGCCTCGAGCGAGCGCCTTCGGAAGAGCTGCGAGGTATTACGCGTGTATTTATGAACTGGCAACGCGATGCGTTCGTCGTAACCGCACGTCTCGTAAAACTCTATACACCTCTATCCGGTAGGAGACTGATGTACTCGCGTATTAAACTCTCTTAACTTCCACTTACAATGCCACTACATCAAGCTCACGCAGTCCGTTAATGTGAAGAATTAATAAATCGTATTATTCCTCTCATTTCCGGACGGATTCCAGCATCATTTAATTCATAGATTTTACGCGTATATAAGATTTAACGTTTTACAGAAAATCCCAAGAACGGTTTGCATAATTTAATTAACAATGATAAAACTAGGAAAAAATTCGTTTCAAGTTTATAAAAGAATTTGAACGATGACGAGAGAAGCACGTGTGGGAAGATCCGAGAGATTTTACGTAATGTCTTTTTTTTTCTAGATTTTTTCTAGATTTTTTATATACGCAGTGTTGAATTTTTCCAATCTCGGGGCGCATTATTCCGAGGGTAACCGAGCGCGGGATCAATTCGTAATTGACTTTCACGGTCTTTAGCCGCGGAACGGGCATCCTGTGAATCCTATTACGTTCTCAAACATAGATCAGCTCGGAGCAACGCTAAGAGGCGTCGGCTATATTTAATGATCAGAAGTATATAGTTGGGTTACGACCCCGACGTCACGACCGCGGTAACGCGGATGAAAATGAACTGTTACTCGGCGCCTATCTATTACTTATCGGGAATTGTTTATAATGTCACTGCTGCGGCACATTTTACCCCGTACCTTATTCAGAGATGACCTACTCTCGAAGATAGATACAGCCGGGAGGATGTCGTTTGATAATTTATATCGGGTGAGAGATTACGATCGGCGATCGCTCATCGTGAGTCGAATCGTGCTCTGTAATCAACCGCGCCTGCCAACGTTTACCGCAACATTGAGATAATTCATGTTGCGCCATCGCGTGTGTATCCGCTCGGCGACACTAACTGAGACGCGCGTCGAAATGGAACGCGGCACGTATAAATGAATCGTTCCTGAAGACGTGTCGCGACTTCAAGTCCCTTTTCAGACATTCATTTTATGCCCACGATGATAACATTCTGTCATTCTGTGTAAATAAACGAGCAAACTTGCAATGTGTTCGAAGTTGGAAGAGTTTGAGGAGGAGGAGCCACCTGAATGGCTGACGTATAAATATCGCACATTAGTAAGAAACATAAAAAATAATATCTTTGTATTTGTAATATTTTACACATGCTTACCTCGTTTCAAATTGACATTTATTATTTAAGTTAAATAAATATATCGAATTTTTGCTCGGCAATGTTAAACTTATGACCTCCTTGATGCGCCACTAAGCCTTACAATCTCCTTAAATAAGGGTGGATGACATTTTCCGCGTTAACACTCAATCAAAAAGTTACACGAGAATAAAGAGAAAAAATAAAATAAATAGAAGAAAAATCGAGAAGCTATCTTAGGGCTCTCTTAATTTTAATGATTAATTCCAAATGAAACTCAAGGGCCAAGATTCGGTCACGAGTTCGAATTCTAATCACTTGCATTGAAAGCGCCTGACTCGTAACGAAGGATGTTCCGATTGTCTGTTACAGGATACACGGACGTCGCCGGGAGACCGGTCATCGAGTTCGAGGACAATGTGTCCACGAGGGAAGCCGTCTCCGTACGAGAGACATCGTCTTTTCTGCTCTACCTCGCCCGTCTACCCAGGTACGCTTCTTCCCCCGTTTCACTTCTCGCGAGCGCGCCGGTTCGCACAGTACATCAACTTCGGCGGTGAGAACGTCGAAATCACCGTACGATCGCGCGGAGTCGCGCGCGCGTCCGCCGCGCGATGCCGATAAATCAGCGAGATTATCGCGAGATCGGTCGCTCGTGCGCCCATTGGGGTGCGACGCCCGTAATTTATGAATTCGATTAGCGGGCGACGCGCGGCCGCGATCATTTTTTCGAGCGCGCACGCGCGCGCGGTCCGTTCTTCCTCATCCTTCCTCCACCCTCCCCTCCTATGCTTCCTCTCTTCTTCCTTTTGCTCGTAGAAAATTCACACTTTACGCCGCGGCGCGCTGGCGCGAGACACCCATTTATTACGCCGGCATCTGTACTCCTCAACGAGGCTGTGTTGTAGCCGATAATAACTGAAATCAACCGAGTCCGAATTGGCAATTTATTAATCCCCGCCCGGGAGAGGAAGGAGCGCGCGAGCTTTCCGCTAAATAAACGTGATCGACGCCGGTGTCGGTAATAATTATAATTTTCCGCCGTCATGAAGTCGCGGCCACGCCCACTATAATCGGCCGATGGGGAGCAAAATCGCGGCTTACCGTTCCTCTTCCTGGCCTGCCTCGTATCTCCGCCTACAAGCTCTCTAACGAAGCTTCCTCCCGTTCGTAAGCTATTCAATTAACACGCTTACGACGTACCTGCCGATATAAACGCTTTCTTTCTACATCCCGCGGCGCCGATTAAACACCCGTGAGAACCGTATCGGAGCAAATCGATGCCGCGCCGCTGAATTGCCGGGGAAACGCTCGCGCGGCCGACCGTTCGGCAAGAAAACCATCAACTTATCGATTGTTGATCGTCGATTAATTAAACCGTCGAAATGTATATCTAACTGATTTGCACAAACAAAAGATATTGTCAAAAGAAAGATACGTGTTTTCAAAATGCATCTCAACCTCGCTTAAGACAAGTAATCATTAAACCAATCGACCAATCACAATCATTTATTAGAAGAATAATTGACCGTGGTTGGTCGATTTACTCATAGTCACTTACGCGTCTTGAAGCAAGATCGTAGACAAGGGCTTAATGTAGAATTTAGAACTTCGTACGTGTCGACCGTTGAGTCCCATCGAGGCCCGAACGCAGAACTTGCAAAAAGTCGGAAGTGGTAATCTCGAGAGTGGCAGCGATCTCGCGATCATTCACCACGCGTCGGACGTTTACACACTTTTCCCGAAGGAATGGCTTCCTGGGTGTGCGTCTTATCGCCTCTCGAGGTATTTCCTCGTCACCGGCTCGGCGCCTTTTGACGCGCATTACGACTCTCGAGTCGACGCACGGTGATCGCGCGATGTCATCGCGCCGTCTCGGCGCTCTCGACCGCGTTCGCATACTCCCCGGCTCGTAAAACGCACCACGCGGCTTTATGGCTGGCCGTGCAATCGGGAACCAAAGCGCCGCGTCCCATGCATGCATGACTCCTCCGTCTGGGTAAATGAGCGGGCGAACAGTGTATCGATGGAAAGAACGACGAAGAGGGAGAGCGAGAAAAGCGCGCGCGCACTATTACGCTCGGGGCGTCTCTCGGCGAGAAACACACGGCGATCTATCTTTCGGCATCTCTTCGGCGCGCGCGCGCGTTTCCGCGTCGGCGACTCTTCTCCTCGTGTCGATACCGCGCGCGCGGCCTGGGAAAAAGTCCGGCGGCGCGGAAAATCTCCGCGAGATTTCATCGACTCGCGCCGCCTCACACCGGCTTTCATCGGTATCCCGGTGCGCAGTCGTCTCGTCGCGTCTCTCTCCGTGGGATCGCGATATCGCGACGTATCTCCGCGGGAATAATTGAAGGCGTCGTCGTCTCGTCGTCGTCATCGATAAAAAGGAAGAGAGGAGAGACGCGCGGGCGAGATCACGGCGGGGATCGATGTGTTAAAGCGTCACGTCGATACCGGAGTTACAGGAGGCACCGAATCACTCCGCCACTTTTATCATGGAAGAGTGTGTGAATTGAATATTGTTTGTCAAAATTTTATTCTTCCGTTACGTAACTATATGTACTCCCGCGAACCCGAGTCGAAATTTCGATGTTACTCTGACGCTCTTAATGATAGTTTGCGCCTACTTAGACGGCCTACACAGTCTGGTAAAAACCTACTTTGACGATATTGGCACTCTTTAACTTCTCCTTGGAGCCTTTAATTCTACGGATTACATTTCAACCGCGAGAACGGAAATTTAAGACGTCATCGGGGTCAGAGTGTAGGTGTTACATTATATTATTCGAATTGAAATCGAACCTGTTCCACTATCTTACCTCCTACTATGTTGCGGAATTAAAGATTTAACGCAGGGTTAAAATTTCGACTCGGTAAGACCGGGGGCTTACGAGAGCGGGAATTTTCTGGGGCGGGAAAAGCGCGAAACTGCTGCCGGTCGGGGATCGGCTGGCCTTCCGTGTCGATGGAGTTCGCGAGGAATGCGGTCGGGCGATACCGAAAAGCCGCGCGGGCGATTTATCGCGCGCGTTCCCAGGATCACGCGGCGATACTTCGAATTTATCGCGGCCGAGTTATCATCTCGCGTGGCCACAATACGCATTGTTACGTGTCGATATCTTTCGTTGCCGGAAGAAAGGCGGCCGAGCGCGAAAGGCTCGCCCGCTCGTATACGCGGCCAACTAGAGTCCGCTCGTGGAATCCGCGCGCCCCGACGAAAGCCCGATGGTGTCATAATGATCCTCTGAGCGGAACACGATCGCCATAAATCAACGCGCAGTGGTAACGCCGTTGCGGCGCACGGGATTCATTAGCACTTTTCCCGCGCGGGTCCCGCACTGGGAAAGCGCGGAACGACGTTGACATAGCGCCCGAGCCGGGCTATCGGTGGCAGATTACTCGCGGATAAGGCCGGCGATGCGGATTTATACTCGCCCGTGCGCGCCTGAACAAAACGACCGGCTGACGACGTCTGGGAAACCGCGCGCGCGAAATCGGAATTTCCACGTACGCCTCCCCTCCCGTCCCGCGGGTCCTTCTCATACTCGCCGTGTTATCGCGCCGAGTACTGTATCTTGACGGAGCATAAACAGCGGCACTCTTTCATCCCGTCGCGTAATCGCGCGGAGGCATCGTTTAATCGATGGACAAATTGCGCGTGATAAACGCACAGATGGACGTTTATTGCGAATCTGGGACACGGCGCGCGACTCGCCGAGATTTCGCACGCGGACACGTACGCGATTCGTAATTGTCGGATGCCGACTTAGGGCCGTCGTAAAATTGCGGGTGGCTGTCCGCGAGTACGAAGTGTCACGTTGTGATGAGAAAGTCACGCAATTGCGCTAATTGTTTGTTTTACGAAAATACCACGAAGTGTTAAAACTAAGGGAGATAGGCTTAAACAGATTATAGGGTTCTTTAAAAGCTAAAGCTACTTTTTTTTAAAAAGGCTCGAGAAAAGGTCACAATAGATCTGGTTGGGTCGCTTTAAGCTCTCAATCTCTGTAGTAATAAAAGCACTGGCGGACGTTCGCAGAGCTCTTCAGCTCGATAATTGGACGGAGGATGAAAACGATAATGAAATTCTGGATAGAATTTATGTCGACGACGTTAAAAATAACGATGTGAATGTATGATTAGGACAGCCACGTGTACAAATTAACGACTTTTTGACGTCCGATACCACCGGCGCCTTCTCTTGGGCGCGCGCGATCTATAAGCGCCTGTAATGCTCGCCCCTTAATTACCGGTTGTCGACACTCGCTGTCCCAAGGTCGACGATTTTCACTCGCGGTGTCGCTTCCTAGATCCGGCGAAACCTGTCCCGATTGGTAAAAAATCGGCCGTGCTCCGATCACGCCTCCGTTTCGCGGGGATTGAAGGTGAAATGGCGAAAGCGCAGTCTGCACCGTTATCGCGCATTAAGTGCACTCATCGTGCATGTCCGCGAGTACGTATCGGCGATCGGTCGATGTTTATTGCCCGATTGAAATTCGCCCGGCAGAAATATGGCGGGCGGCCTGCCGTTCGGCTAATCGACCGCGCGTTTTGATTAAACTTCCCCGGGTTCTCATTCGTATTTGCATATTGTTGTGATTGGTGCTGCGTGACGGCCGATCCGCGGTACTTTACGGAACGTATTTCTCCGTGAGCCTCGAATACCTTGGAATTTTAATGCCCTTCACAGAGTGCTTTTCTCATATGATGCAGTGAAAAAAGGATTTGGTAAGAAATTGTTACCAAACATTTAATGAAATCATTATCCAATTCAATGATTTGGTTATTGCAAAGCCATTTGGTTGAAACTATTTCACCAAATGTTTGATAATTGTTACCACATCCTTCTTTTCAGTGTGCGTGTGTTTTTTCTTTAATCTCACATAAATATATCTTTTTTTTTTTTAACATCATATTATCCATTTTGTTTTATATCACTAGAAATCGAGAAATCATCTAACGTCTTAGATATACGAATCGAAGATTGTGGAAATATTCCTACCTACGGGATCATCGAGGAGATATTTTTTACACGCTAAACGGATTTCGTTCCGTTGTTAAATAATAGTGTCAAAACATGGCAATCTTCGCTTAATGGGGAGACGGTAAGCCGATGTAAACGATGAAATTCGCGATAGTGAGGAACGCGCGTGCGTAACGGGTCTGTGCAGCTTTCTTAATTCGAGATTGTCATAGTGTGAAGTAACAAGTCACGTTTCACCGCGGCGGCGGCTTTTACGGTGGCCGGCATGAAAGCTTGTACCTCATACGGGAGAAATATATTGAGCGTCAGCCGGGACTCCCGCGGTTTGCGTTACGCGTAATAACTTGATTGGTCGCGGTGAAAGGTCGAATCACCAAAAGTAATTCGCAAATGCATTGCCCGGCGAAATTGACCTCGAGTCGTCTTTCACCGTTAACTCGCATCACCGGTTTGTCCGGCGATGAATCGGAGCTTTGATCGTTATATTAAGACGGAAGGCGAGA